GCGCGCGCACGCGCAGCACCGGCGCGCCCGCCGCGTTGTTCTCCGCCACGTAGGCGCTGTAGGCAGCCTCCTCGAACACCGGCGCGTTGTCGTTCACGTCCGACACCTCCAGCACCAGCGCCGTGCGGCTCGACAGCGCCGGACTGCCCCGGTCCCTGGCAGTGATTGTTACATTGTAAGCGGAGACCTTTTCTCTGTCCAAGGCACTGGCTATTATTAGTTTGTACATCTTCTCGGATGACGGTTCTAGTTTGAAAGGCAATTCGCCGTCGATGTTGCAGCTCACTTCTCCGTTATCCCCCGAGTCTCTGTCACGGATGTTGATCACGGCTACAACTGTGCTCGGGACCTCGTCTTCGGGTATCGTGTTCAAGATAGGCAGGAGGGAAATGGTTGGCGCGTTGTCGTTCACGTCTACAATGTCTATGTGCACTTTGGCGTGAGCACTCAGCCCGCCCCCGTCTTTGCCTTCAACAGTCATTTCGTAATATTTCCCTTCTTCATAATCTAATGGACCTGTAACCTTCACGTCCCCTGTCCTGGAGTCCAGGGTGAAAAGCTGGCGAGCAGTCTTTGCGATGTCACTGAAAGAGTAGGTAATTTCTGCATTTATACCTTCGTCGACGTCAGTAGCTTTCACCTGAAATGCTAAGGAGCCATTTGGCAGGTTTTCCAACAGTTGAACCTTGTATATCTCTTTGGTGAATACCGGAGGGTTGTCATTTGCGTCCGTCACGTTAATCTTAACCTGAGAGGTCCCGGATCGGACTGGATCCCCGCCATCCACTGCCGTCAGAATCAAATGGTGATTTCTCTGTTTTTCTCGATCTAAGTTTTTCTCCAGCACTAATTCCGGCTGCTTCGTCCCATCAGGACCCTCCCTCACTACGAGGGAGAAGAAGGGGTTGGGGTTAAGTTGGTAGTTTTGTAATGAGTTTGCCCCAATGTCGGGGTCCCTGCCACTGCCCAGTGGGAACCTGGCCCCAGGAGGCGTGGATTCGATCATTTCTAGGGCAACAAACTCTCTGTCAAACTGCGGCGCGTTGTCGTTGATATCCTGGATGGTAACGCTTACATGAAATATATTGAAAGGGTTTTCCACGACTGCCTCCAAACTGAGGACACAGGGCGACACGGCCCCGCAGATGCCCTCTCGGTCTATCCTCTTGTTTACCCGTAGACTTGTACCATCCCCGAGAGTGAAGTACTGCTTTTCGTCACCAGAGACTATCCGCAGCTTGCGTGCCGGCAGCTCCGCCAG